CTCTCCTCGTTGCCATGAGAGCCTTCTTTCAATTTCTTAATTACATCATAGTCCTTGTACATACTGTTTCTTCTTCACTAGCTTCTTTCATGGCTATCTCCTTTTCATCTTGCAGGTTTCAATTTAAATGTCACTTTCTTGGTAAGTCCTTCCTGAATCATTCTCTCTGAATAGATCCCCTCTTCCTATACTACCCCATCACTTTTTATCTCAACATTCTGTCTGCTTTTATAAACAATCCTTCCCTTTTGGCAATTACTTGTTTACTGGCTATTTTCTTTATATTGTAAGCTTAATGGGGGCAGAGAACTATAAACATTTCATTCAATATTTGCACAACCAAAACCTAGCACAAATCCTGTACCGAATAATTACTTGTTGAATAAATGAATAGCACAGATAAAGACGGGCAGTGTAATGAAAATGATTGATCCTAATGCAGGCTTGCATTATAAAAAATTTCGGGCCCGGCTCGGTAGCTCAGCCTTTAATTCCAGCACTTTGGGAGGCTGAGGCGAGTGGATTGCCTGAGCCTGAGGGTTCGAGACCCTCCCGGGCAAATTGGTGAAACCTTGTCTCTGCAATAAATCAAAAATGAGTCGGGCATGATAGCGCGTGCCTATAGTTCCGGCTACTTGGAAGGCTGAGGCGGAAGGATTGCCGGAGCCCAGTAGATCCAGGCTGCGGTGGCTGGGAGCGGCCACTGCACTCCAGTCTGGGTGACAGAATGAGACTACAACTCAAAAAAATTAAATAAATAAAATAAAATAAAAATTTTGGACTATAACATCAAAGCTTTATTCAAGATTTTGAGCATTCCTCAAAATGAATGGAGGGCATTATTTTTTTGAGAAAGGGTTGGGCATGATAGCCTACTCCCTACTCTAGTGCCTCTCAAATTCTTTATGGTAAATTTTCAATATGTGAAACTTTTATGAAGTCTAAGTATACTAAAATTGAATTACTAAAAACATGAAATAAAAACAAGAACAAACAAAATATGGGCTCAATTATTTTATTACTTGTTTCAACAGACATAAACTTATTGTTTCTACAAAACTTTTTAAACAGTTGTCTATGTCCATACCTATCACATTGGAGATCAGGAACAAGCACTTCAAGTAGTGCTGGTTTACTTCATCATTCTTCCATTTGGGATTAGTTTAAGGTAATACATCTTGAAGACTGAACTATTCTTTGTTGGGTAAGACTATTCAACCTACCACAGAGCATTTCGCCTCTTAGCTCCAGGACACTAAAAGCCACTGGCACCATTCTTCCCACCCTGCACCCTCTGAATATGTATTTCCAGCTTCTAGAGGGGTCAGTAGCATCATAATTCAGAGCCACTGGGGCTCAAGAGCTCTTCCATCTACTCAGTAGTGTTTAGAGTAGGCACTGTGGTTATTAGCTTGGGGAGGACTTGAATCTTAGTAACTGCTGAAAAAAACTAAGCAGCTATAGTCATGAATATAAATTGAAGGGTGGGAAAAAAAATCTTTCCAAATTAAGGCTGTTATTTTTGCCTCTTGTACATTTGTTGGATTTTGAAAAGAGCGACAATAGGGAGAAAAAGTCAAATGTTACCTGTGGGATGCTATAGAGAAACCAACTGGTTGTTGAAATTTATATCACATCACAGCTAGTTTCTCTTGACTCTTATATTTCACTTTCTTGCCCTAAAATATTTTTGCCTTAATGCTTTGCCCCTTATCTATTTTCACATCCTTATTCTCCTCAGTGACTTTTTTTACCCCATTGGCACAGTGCGATGCTATGGCTGAACATAAATAAAAGGGGAGGAATAAACAAAGCAAACGCTAGGATGTAGGGAGTTTTTCTTCCCACCTTGGGCACTTAAGAAAATGCAGAAAAGGCTGGACACGGTGGCTCAGTCTGTAATTCCAGCACTTTGGGCACCGACGGGTTCAAGAAAATGCAGAAAAGATATGTTGATAATTTCTCCCTTCCTTTGACTTACCAAGTTATCAAGTTTGTTTCCCATGTTTTATGCCTTTTAAGCATTGGCATGTAAGAAATTTGTTACTTGCGCCACTTCAAGAATGCCTATGTTATCTCTATAACGAGATTTTTATAGTAGCTCTAAAAGCAGTAGAAATATTTCTAAATCCTTCATCTAAAGGGAACTTAACATCCTTCATACTTCAAAAGTTTCCATCATTTTCCTGAAGATGAAGGAAAAGAGACTTGACATGTCTTGTTTGAGTGAGACTGTTGATGTGTCCAAAGGCAAGTTCAATTCCAGCCCGCGTCCATCCCAGTCCTACTTCAGTGTTGAAGATTTAAACTTCAGCCATATCTTTTAAGTCATATGAGCTTGTAACACAAAAAGGAATGATCTCTATCCTGGAAGCAGTCTTTGTCACTCATTTACCTCTGTCTCCTTATCTAGCCAACACACACTTGGATCTCTAGATTGAACTGGCTTCTCAAATTCTTCCAACTAAGAACTTGCAGTTCATTTGAACTTGGTGGGACTCTGGTTGAAATTCTACCATTGCAGTGGTTACCAGGCTATGTCCTGGGGTTAGGGAGTGAACAATGTTAGTTAAAGATGTTTATCTCATAATGTCCAATGCTCTGAATTGGATATCAGAATTCCTTTCATGCTTCCTTTTCCTTTCCTCTCCTTCCTCATTTTTCCTTCCCAAACTCAGGTTGTACAGATTGCACTGTTAGAAGTTGTTGGATTTGTGAATTTTAAAAAAGTGATTTTTAGGAGAGGGGCAGCAGGACTTAAACTTTGGAACTCCAGTGGGAATTAGTTACAACTCCCTGTCTTTTTAGGTTAAATTATTTTTGAATTCTTAAAAATACTCAGGGGGTAAGGTTAACAACTGTTACTGGATGTTAATAACTTCTCTCAGGGGGTTATTTTAGCTCTTTGTTAGAAAGGAATGTTCTAGAGAAGACTTTGACCTGTTGCTTCTCTTGAATACTACAGAAGAATAATGTTCATGTTCTCTTATTCTTTAACTGTTAAATTTAGATGGTAAGATAAGGAATATATTTTCAAGTTTCAATCCTATTACTTGTCATTCCAGTTATTCCACTTGCTCTGGTTTCACAATTCAAGAAATATTGAAGTGATGCAAAGATAAAACAGTAGTGGGGCTTGATCCAGGGCATAATTGATATCAAATACCTGAATGAACTGAAAGTAGCTCTAAATTGTAATACACTCTTCCATTCCAAAACCGTTAGTAGCAACTCTTAATTCAACCAGAAAATGAAAGGTTTATACAGATTCCTCTGACCAACTCAGAAAGTCAGGAGAACTACATAACATGAGATCATTCAAACATTTTTAATACCAACTTGGGACTTTAACTGTTGCACAATATTCGTTAAATTCTGAGCAGCAGGACTTGAGAACTGGAAATCTTGGAGAGAGTTAAAAGAGCCACAATGATTATTAATAAGCCTGATGAGTTATAGAAATGGGCAGATAATTACAGGATAAACTTAATAGAGAGAAATACAGAGTAATTTAGAGGCAGAGAAAAGTAAAACGCTCTAAATACAAGTGAGAAGGCTTGGCTTTGTGGAAAAATGTGGGAATTGGTAAACCACAAGTAAAACATGAATTAAACAGTACAATTGCTTTAGTACTTTCATTATTTAAAAAAATGTGTAGAGTATATGTAAGGATATTGTATTTAAGACGAAGGCAGTCATCCCCAGTCATCTGTAAATTTATTTATTAAGCATTTATCGTGTGTCAGACACTTCTGGATGGTGGGATAAAATAAGGAAAAAGACAAGAGCTCGCTAAAGTGTGGTGACAGAGCTAGTACCTTTAGTAGTCTTTTGCTTGTATTCTGCAGCCAACTTTCAAACTGCAAATACTGCGAGCTCCTTGAGGTAGGTATCCTATTTTTTACCTGTTGGATCCCATTCCGTGCCTCGCACAGCACCTTGTAAGCAATCAACATGGATTAAGGGGTAAAAACAGGCCCTCAAAGAGCTAAAATGTGAAAAAGTAAACACTTGTCTAACCATCAAACATGTCGATCGAAATCCCCAGTTTTTTCTTCAAAGTGTAACAAATATTTGCGAACCTATTACGTGCAGAACAGTTTTCAACACAAGGCTTTGTGTATAAAAGCGATGGTGGGAAAGGATTCAAATTGAGCATCGTGCTAAATGGCGTGAGTGTCCTGACCAGGTGGACAGCCCTCTTCTCCGCGATTTCTTTTTTTTCTTTTTGTAGCCGAGAGACAAAACGCCTCGGCAGGAGCTACAGCGGGAGGGGGACGCAGCGCGAAGCCTGGGGGCGCAGCCGGCAGCTCGCGCGTCCCGAGCTCGCTTGGGCAGCTCGGCGGGCGCGGCGACACAGCTCCCACCCCGGCTTCCACCGACTCGCGCTGGCTCGGAGCGGGCGAGGCGACCCCCAGAGGAAAGACTGTGCGCCGCAGATGCCGCTCGTGGAAGTCACCGGCCACCCGCCCCGCCTCGGGGTCTTGTGTTTTCGGGCTTCCCCTGGCCATTCGGGCGGGCGCTCCAGAGAGGCCGGTGGGGCGCGATGTGGAAACCAGGCGCGCGGGCGCACCCGCTAGCCCACCCACGGCCCCGCCACGGCGCCGCCACAGCGCAGGGACTTTGAGGCGCCCGCGCCCCTTTGTCGCGGGATCTCTCGCCCAGGCAGGCCGGACGCCGAGGCCTCGCGGTATCGGGCCTCCCTC